TTATTTAAATGAAGAAAAGAACAGATATCACCATAAATCCTAAATGGATTTGAGGGCGCAAAAAAACCCTCAAATGTATTGTCAATATAGACGCACTGAAGGCGCTCAAACGCAAGAGCGACGCCACCACGACGCAAGCGTTCCCAAGAACCTCGAGGAAAAAATATAATAAACTTTTAGAAATGCTGCAGCGTGCACCGCATGTCACGTGACGAGGAACAAACAGTCTTTTCTTTAAATAACAGTCTAAGGTTGAAAGGTCAGCCAAATGGAGCAGTAAAGCTACTGTGAGGGGTTTATGGTGCTGGAAATCCTTTTATCTCCGTTTAGTTTAGTCAGTAAGGCTTAATGCCAAATTCATCATTCCAGCGCAGCTTTTAGTTGCTCAGTAGCAGCAGTGCAAGTGACTTCAATGGAAGATATTTTTCTTGGTGATGTCTAAGATGCATCGATCTGATCGATGTCTGGGTTAAGTACTAATCACATGCCTGTGTTTAATTAATGAGCTGTATGCCTCACTGTGTGGAAGACACCAGGAAGTACAATTCCAGTGTAAACGTGGTCAAAAGGTAACAGCAATTAAAATGCAAGTGTATTATAAATATAGTAAACAAACACAGAATTGAATGGAATAGATCTGCCCCATTGTCACAGATCCAGCTGCTTGAGTGCGTGTCGGCCTGATATCAGTATCGGTGCATCCCTAGAGATGTCATCATTGGATGGAGTTTCTTTGTTACTTTGCGTAGTTTGACAGTCCTGGATCAGGGCTGAGATAGAAGTCTAGAATGTGTGTTTAGACTGGAACTGGAGGCAGTTAGGAGCTACGCTGACTCTGGGAACACAGAAGCTCACAGCTCACAGCTCAATTATTTAAATATCAGACTTGTCAGAAACTCCTTGATATTCAATCCAGGACAGTTTCTTAATTGTAATAATTTAAGAACCATTGGGCTGAAAACCGATGGTGATGATTAGTGGACAACCGGCTCTTTCTCCTGAGCCACAGCCTGTTCTTAAATATTTGAAAAGTCGCATTCCAAAGTGTATTATTCCATATTTTCTTTTGTAGAAAATAAAGCTACTCGTGTAATTCATGAACATTGTACAAACTGAGGTGCCCTTGTCATCATAACTGCCCCATCATATCATTTAGTAGTGGCATTACAAAATGTCCAAAATCTGTAATTTACTGGAGAATACTCCAAGTTTATAATCGGCTTTATGAGTTGTGAGATTTACGCTCTCTCCTTGTGATAGAAAGCTGCTTTCTGTGCAGTAGTGTAAATGCAGTGGTGATTGGGTCATGGCTGTGACTTGACAAGAGACAGAATGCATGATGAAAAGTCAATTCTGTGATTTTGACTATTATTTATAATGGTTCATCATTGCTCTTTATGCCTCCTGGCATGTAGGGCAGCAACAAATGTCTTCCACTCCCGTCTGTCCTGGGACTGCTGGATGGTGCCCCATGAGTGGTTTAGGCTCTGTATCTCCTCCACAGTTCTTCTCCGTGTGTTTCTTGGTCAGCCTCTTTTTCTTTTCCCTTCTGGCATCCAATGTAAGGCTGTTCTTGTAATATCAGCAGGGTCTTTACTCAACACATGTCCTATCCAAGTCAAAGCCATTTATAATGGTTGGTGGTTAGAGTTACTGGCCTCTGACTTATTGAACATTTTTCTTTTTTTAAGTACATAAAACCAAATGTTTACGCTCTAAAATCAAACCATTAGATGAGTTCTATTAACTGCATATTACTGAATACATCACATTATGAACACAGGTGACTAAAGTTGCCTGTAAAATGATACAGTAATAAACAGTCTCTTTCCCTGATGAATTAAAAAGCAAATTCAATGAAATCACAATTCAATTTAAAGATGTTTAATTAATATATTTTCTTATTTCAGTTACTAATGTATCTGCCTGCACCTCACAATGCATTTGTCTCTTGCAGCCGTGTTGACAGTTGTCTGTCGGATCATCGCTTTAATGTAAAAAGGGTTCTCTTTAGTTTAATGATGTGAAAACAAAGCGCCACTTAAAAGTGAGGTCAGCCCCAAAGAGCAGCAGGCCCTGTGATTGGACAGCTGTTATGTGCTGATGAGAGCGGTATGGACAACTAGAGTGTTTTTAACACTGAATTGTTCTGGCCACTCGAGTTCGGCAGTAATCAAACGAGGTGTAAACAACACTGACATACTATCACCTCATCTTTAGAAACCAGCTGCCTATTTACACATCCAGCGGACACACAGCTGCATTCTCATTCATTTGGAGTTGTGTTTGTGTCCATCGGATGAAGATAAGGAAATATCATCTGCTAAACGCTCCAATGTGTTCACAAGCTAGTCTCTACCTGTGTCTGTCTGCTGGAAACCAGGCTGGTGAGGGCAGTGAAGCTGTAAAACCAAAACAATGCGCTGAAAGACGCTGAGAAGCTCTGTACAACTGAGAGTGACCCTCAGTGTTAACATAGTACAGCTTTACATTGATCAGAATGAAGCATTCTAAGTCTATGACTCCCTAAGTATCTGTGCCAGACTCCAGAAACATATCGCTGTTCTAAACCCAAAAATATATGGAACAAATTGTCAGACAACATAATTCTGAATTTTCTCACAGTAATTCACTGATTTATTCTCTCAAATGGAAAACCGAACTAAACACATTTTTAACTTCAACTTTACATGATTACAAACCATTCAAGTACAATCCAATGTGATTATGGCTGTAGCCAGCTCAATAAATTACCTTTCCCCATTAAGGCACACTCAGTAGTTCACATGAAGTAAGGAGACGAAAGAAAAGCTGAACAATGGTGATACATGCTGAACACGAGAGAACATACTGACACGATGACAAAAGAAAGCCTTCTAACACATTATTTGTGCCTTATTCATATTTAATATGCTCTTTGTAGCTTAGAATTATTTTGCATAATCAAATTGACTTGATCTGTCAGAGCCAAGAGGAACAACCAATAAGAACCCACACATCAAACCTCATAAATAAATGTAGGTTTCCACTGTCAACTCCTTCCACTGATGAGTTGACAGTGGAAGGAGTGATCCGTTTAGTTCACAATTTAAAAGTATTTAATGAAGCAAAATTGTGTTTTAATGGTCCACTTCTCTGCTGCTGTCCACCAGTCACACTTTGATGTGAATAATATTTTAGCAACCAATCAAACCAACGACCATTCTAGGCAGATTCAAACCAAAGTTGAAATAAAGCAGTTTTCCTTTAAAGACACTGCCGATTGAGCAAATGCTCCAAAAACCTCTGTTTAAATGAGTGTCAGCATCTAATGAATGGAGAGTGCTTAATGAGGACAATCACATGCTGCCTTCATTCACCGATGATTTAAGAATATACTGTGGGGCAAACATAGGTACTACCATTACTGTTACCATGGCAACACAACTCATAGTTTTGAGAGGCCTGGGTCTTTGATTTTGTGCAACTTACATTAAAGCCCCGTGTGTAGGAATTGAGAATTTCTTTAAATGTTTCTCACTATCAGCCAGGCCCACTAAAGGCTGTCTGGTGGCAGAGGTTACAGCTCTTCACCTCTCTGTTTGTTTGAAGAACCAGCTGTCACGCTATAAAGGCCTTCTAGGAGAGACTATTATTCTCATCAGTACCATTCTTCTCACCTTCTATGATGGCTGACTTTTCAGTGTGGCCATTGCTTTAACTTGTTTGATTAAAGCAAAGTAAACCCTTAATAAATGGACAGAAAGCAACACAGAGCTGAAGGGATAATGTATTTTTGTAGCCCAACAGGAAGTTGGCATCACTGGTTCCCTCTACAAACAGCCAATCGGATTCATCCATTGGATTTTGAATTTATTACAGAAAATAATCTCTGTGGCAAACAAACGTTTATGATTTTCACAAATGAACACCACTTTAATGATTTTTGAAGTGTGAATGTGAATCATTAGAAGCAAAAAGCTAACGTTAGGCTCTAAAGACTCCACCACGGTCACATGACTTCACGTCTCCACCACTGAGCTAGAGGATAGTGTTCTAGTGAGGACGTCTCGTTTTTACAGATACTTCAAAGCTTCGAAATTCACCAGAGGGGTATTTACTTATGCATTTTATATCGCAGAACAAAACGTTAAAATCTTTTTAGCTTATGTTACCATAGACCGTATTTCAGACATCTAACCAAAAACACATTCAATAAACACAGTGACTTTGAACGAGGGAACAAGACTTGCACATATCTCATTTACAGGTTTTAGGACGTATTCCTGCTGCACTCAATTGTCACTGAGCTTGTCTCATTTATCTACATACAAAAACCCAAACTATCAGAGCAGTCTGAAAGATGTTAGATTGACAAGAAAACTCAGAGGTTTTAAACTAAACTCTGGCTAAACAGAGCAGTCCAACTCAAACCTCAACGCCATGGAGCAACCAGCGCCTATAGCTCAGGAAATAGTTTGAAAGACTTGATGTTGCTTCACTTCCCCTGCTGGAAATGTAAAAGCCACACTAGGACAGCGTGTCCACTCAGCAGATGAAGTGCAGGGCCCACTGATGTGATGGTAAAAACACGTGTAGGTGCTGGGATGAACAGTTGGCCAGTCCAAACTCAAATATCCCAAAACGATTACAGGGAACTGGGGTACTACTGTTAGCACACCAACATGCTGAACTCAGATGGTGGGCATGATAAACATTACCTGTAAACATCAGCTGTACTGCCTCCATCCAAACCCTCAAGCTTTCATCTCAAACACTACCAATTTCTGCTTTTGTCGGTTAACGAAATTGCAAAAAATCCCAACTGTTTGGTGAAGTTTTGGGGGGGGGGGGGGGGGGGGGGGGGTAAAGAAAATAAAAAAAGAAAAAAAAAATAAAATAGCAAAACACACAC